GTTGACATCTAAGGTTAAAGACTTATGGAGGGGCTCCATCAGGATCGCCTCCCAGCCGAGGAGGAGCTGCAGTGCAGGAGAGCAGAAGGACCAGGAGCCCCTCCAGCCTTTGGGGCGATGCATCAACCAGCAAAAAGCCCCCCAAGGTGGTGGGGGCCCTTCAGCCCCGGGCCCCTCTTCCTGGGGAGGGAGGGGGCGCGTGGGGGGGAGCTGGGGGAGGGGCTGCAAGCGGCCTTCATGGAGGACAGAAGAGGCTGAGGGTCCACATATTAAGGGGGGGATCTGCCCCCCGGCATATTTGCAAAGGGGGCTTTGGGGGTTCAGGAGCTGCCGGGAGGACCCTCCCCCCGAATTCCCCGCCCGCCGTGCCTAGGGAGAGACCCCGGGTGGGGGCGGGGAGGGGGACAAAGGGGGGGCAAAAGAGGCACCTCCAAGATCAAAGGTAGACCTTCGCCTCACCTCCGGACGGAAGGAAAGCAACCTTCGGCACTGCGCAGGCGCCCTCTGGTTTGAAGTTAGGCGGAAGCCGATTGGTCGCTCTGGAGAGGCCAGCGATTGGCAGGATGACTCTTAGGAGCGGTGTCTCCAAAGGAACAGGCGGAACCTCTGGAGAAAAAAGGGCGTGAAGCCTCCACTTCCGGAAAAGAAACGGGCAAGGAAAGAGCTGCCTGAAACGGCGACAGAGGAGCACGGATGATGCAGGTTTGACGCAGGGGATGCTGGGCGTTGCAGTCTGGGATGGTGTTCGCGTCCAAAGGTTGCGGAGGCTTCGGCCTGGGCCTCTCCTGACGGGACGCGGGCGGTACTGTGACCCGCCTCTCTCTCTCTCCCCTCCTGCAGGAGGACGGAGGACACCAGCGGGGAATGGAAGGAAGCGCCGCCCGGGAGGAGAAGGAGGAGAGCGGTACCCCCGGAGCAGCTATGCCCTGTCTTGGCGCGGCTTCCCCCGGAGACGGCGGAGAAAGGCCGGGAGGCTCCGGGGCTGCAGGAGGGATTATTAGCCCAGAAGGACTTTGGGAAACGCGGCTGCCTGGAGGGCGATGCGGGAAGGAGGAAACGGGCGAACACCCCGAGACGGTCCTGGAGGGCGGGGCGTCCTTCGGAAGACCCCGGAATCCCCAAAGAATCCATGAGGAAGGAAGGAAATATCAGTGCCCGGAATGCGAGAAATTCTTCAAGAGCAAAGAGCATCTTCAGAGCCATCTAAAGGTCCATTCAGGAGAAAAACCTCATAAGTGCCCGAAGTGTGGAAAGTGCTTCATTTGGAGGAGTATCTTTTATATACATCAAAAGATCCACAGAGGGGAGAAACCATTTAAATGCCTCGAGTGTGAAAAGAGCTTTTGTTGGAGGGGCAACCTTTATAAACATCAAAGGATCCATTGGGGAGAGAAACGGAAGAAATGCCTGAAGAGCGGAGGGTCCTTCGGAAGACTCCAGAATCCCCGAAGGATCCAGAAGGGAGGAAGGAAATATCAGTGCCCAGAATGCAAAAAATCCTTCAAGAGAAACAACCATCTTGAAAACCCTCTAAAAATCGACTCATTTATTAATCTACATAAATGCTTTGAGTGTGGAAAGAGCTTCAATTGGAGAGCAGAACTTATGCAACATGCAAGAATCCACACTGGGGAGAAACCATTTAAATGCCTGGAGTGTGGAAAGAACTTCAGTCAGTTGGGAAACCTTTATCGACATCAAAGGATCCACACAGGAGAAAAACCTCATGAATGCCTGGAATGTGGAAAGAGCTTCATTCAGAGGAGCAGCCTTTATACACATCAGAGGATCCACACAGGAGAAAAACCTCATAAATGCCTGGAGTGTGGAAAGAGCTTCAGTCAGAGGAGCAGCCTTTACACACATCAGAGGATCCACACAGGAGAAAAACTTCATAAATGCCTGGAGTGTGGAAAGAGCTTCA